TGGATTCCTGTAGAACAACGATACTCACCCATTTTGAAATTTCCACCAACTATACTACACAGTTTCAAGGACAGACTCACCATCGAAGCGGACCTTTCCCTGTAGGGAAAACACGAACTAGTGAACCAAATTTTTGGTTCAGTACTAGTTCTTTTTCGCCAAAAACGAACCAGTCCGATAGTAAATAGTCCCGAACCAGTCCAAAAGCAGTGAAATGTGGTACTTTCACTAAACTATTTTATTTCAAATTTTAAAAGCAGGGAAGGTAATCATTATGAGTAAAATAACTTAAAGCAGCATTTAATCATTATTTTATGAATTATTATTGTTTTAGTTTTTCCCTCAAACGGAAATAATTATTATTTGATTTTTATTTTTGGCATTACAAATAATGATTATTTTATGATTTTTATTTTTTCGCGCAGAGATTATCATTAATTTTGAGTTTTATTTTTCCACTTAAAAATAATGATAATTTATAAAATTGAAAAGGCCATACAGACGCAACCTACTGAAATTTTGACCTGAAAAGTTTGGGTCTTATTACGCTTATAAGAGTGCGGCTACCTCAAAAGGATACGTCGGTAATCACGCTGGTATAGTTTTTGAGTTGCTTAATAATCATTATACTTAGGACAATTGAGAAAGGCAATGCAGTTGCAGAAAAGAGGTTAAAAAAAGTGTCAAAATAGTTACCACTTTCTCACTAAATTTATTTAAAAATGCAAGCCACCAGAGCTACCTTTGTTTTAAGAAAAGACAAATTAATTTTTGTTTTATGCAATCCAGCACAGCTACCTTAATACAGTCAGTCAATAAAGTTTAGGTACAACGAATTTTTTACAATACGGGCAACTATTTTTTAAATATTTTAGTTTTCGGCCATTTTTTATAAAATCCCCAAAAATCAGAGTTCCAAACCTTGTGCAAAATTTAAGAAAATTCTACAAAATTTCATTAAAATAATTCACTTTCTATTTGCGCTCTCTAGAAAAAGTTGAGTTTGCAGTTTTTTAGCCCATTCAATTTTAGTATAATGAAGTGCAAGTATGAGGAAGCTAGGACTTACCAAACAACAACAAAAACTTGCTAAATATCAATGGTAAGTCCTAGCTGCCTCAAACTTGCACTTTGTTATACTAAAATTGAATGGGCTAAAAAACTGCGTACTTAACTTTTTTCTAAAGAGTGTAAAATGCAATATTTGGATGGAAATTTGCGGAGTTTTCTTTAATTTTGCATAAGGTTTGGAACTCTGACTTTTGGGGTTTTTGGTGTAGAACTAACCATATTTTTATAAAAAATTAGGGAAAAATTAAATATTTAAACAATAGTTGCCGGTATTGTAAAAACTTCGATGTACCTAAACTTTATTGACTGCCTGTATATCTTATTTACTTAAAAAACAATATGCTTAAATTTAGACAAGTAAGACAAAGTGAACTAATATTTTTACTTTTAAGCAGAACGCACTTTTGTTTTTTACTTACTACTTAAGTTTAATACTACTACTACTACTAATGTGGTTTATAAATTTTTAATAAATGCGTTTAAACATTTGTGATGGTATTGTCCTTCCTTCAACCGATCATATTTAATATAAAAGGGAAATGTTTCGACAAACCTGATTAGAAATGTAGATCTAAGGTGACGAATTTATAACAGGTTGGGAACTATAAAAAATGGATGCAGATCGAACAAGATCTCATCTGTCGATTTANAAAACGAACTAGATCTTATCTGTCGAATTTAGAACTGGTTCGGAACTAGAGCCAAAGGGATGCAACGGGGGACAATTGACACTTCCTAGGACATCGCAATGTTAAATTCGCCAGTCGCTAGCATGCAAAAGAGAATTAACGCGTACTAGTCATGGTTCCAAACGCACTAGAACCGAACCAGTTCCGCACTAGTTCGTTTCCCTACAGGGTTGTTGCCGCCAGGAAGTGAAGAGGCAAAAGTTCTTCGAATTGATTTCGTTATTCGATTAACCGTGCTATGGAACGCCAGATCATTGGGAAATTCTAAGAACTTCTTCGCGGACATAACACTTTCGTTAGGTTATTTAAGACGGCCTTGGAAGTATGCCTTCCCACGACCACCAAACCATAATATTGCAGATAAATTCTGAACGTGAATTGTTGGTGAAAATGCTGGACCAAAATGTTTCAATAAAATAAATTAATTTTAGGCCAGGTCTTCTAGTGAACCATATTTTTGCAACAGGCAATATAAATTCTAAAAAAGCGGTCTTTCGGCCCACTCTAATGTACATACCTATGGGCGTTTCCATAAAAATGTAAACCGAAAGTGCAAATACATAAATGAGTTCAAACGGCATTATAACTTAAAATTTCGTATTCAGATGGCGGAAAAAGGTTATGAAAATGGGAAACGGCGCACCGCGGCGGAGAGAAGAACTGATAAATTAAATAAAAAATTAAATTATATACGGGCAATTCTCTATTAGTTGGAACATTCGCATGACTCGCCAGTTTTTATACGGACACATAATTTTAGCTGATTTATTAACAAAAATCAGGTTACATATGGTGTGTAGATTATGTAAATGAAAACGGACCACTATGTGGACATATGTACCATTTTATAGCCAAATATGCATATAATTCAGAAATAAAATTGGGAAATTTTCACAAATAAAAGTGTGACTGTCCAATTATTTTGGGGGTTAAACTACGTGTCAGTAAGTGACGGGCCTACACCTTATTTTAACACCCAAAATTTTTTGATTTTTGACAATGAGGTGTCAAATGAAAGAGCTTGGGCTGTAGATGCTAGGTCTTACCCTTGATTTCTGTCAATTTATGTTCTAAATTTTTTTTTATGAAAAAAATGCGGAGCACCCTCAACAAAAAAAAAAAATACCAAAGTCAACGGTAAGTCCAGGACACTAAAGATTTGCACTTTGCTTGCTAAAATTTGATGGGCTATGGGATCAGTTATACTTTCATAAAAAAATAATAAACATTAAAAAAACTAAAGAAAAATAATAAAAACTTACTCAAATATCGCGTCCCAATTTTTATTTGGTTCACTGTATGTGTATCTCGGTAACCGATTTATCACTTTGTGCCAAACTCAGTGCAATTATTGACCTTGGCATAAAAAGCTATATGTTGAAAATTTTCGAAATCGGACTAATATTACGCCCACCTTCCACTTAAAAAAAAAGCGTAAAAACGTTAAAAACGTATGGTGCATTGCTTTATAATGTTACACTACGTTGGATTTTGTATTCTAGCAGCTGAAGGAACGTATACTCAAAATTTGAGACATGTGCCCGCGATTTAAAAATAAAAAAATTTTTCACAAAAAAATTCGAAGTTTCTGAAAATTGCCCATATGTATGTATTACTAGAAAAAATATTGTATGGGGGCAAATTCTGTCATGTCCGATATGTCACGTGCGTTATTACCAGGGAACGGATTTTGTGGAAACTGCCTTTTTTTCTGTTAAAGCGATAGAGTATATATTCCATTAAAAATGTCCACGATTTAGCTTTCCCTGATTCCATATACACACATTTGCTTTTGCCTTTATTTGTCTTTTTTAAGATATTTACTTTTTTTGCCTTTTCTACCTTTAATTGTAAAGGGCGCCACTTCTATCAACTCACGTCGAACGCATTGTTTATTACATTCAAGGCTTTTATTCGCGAAAATCGAATGAAAATGCTGCAAGAACACTTCAAAATGCATCTTATGATTCAATGTTACTATAACTATAGAGATTCAAGTTTTATGAGTTAAAAACTCGGATGGAAAAAATAGCAAAGCTTCAAAGTAGAAATTTTTCATATTGAAACTATGTAGTACATAGTTTTTCTCTTTTAACTCGTAAAATAAACATTTCTCAAATAATAGTATTTTTTGATTATTTTTCGTTTTTTTTTCTTTTCTAGTTCCTTTTCCTGCCCATTTCGCTATCTTATTTTGCCTTTTCTAGCCTATTTCGTTATTTTATTTTGCCTTTTTTATATGTTTTTAGGTCCTAAAATGCCGTTCCATGGTTATCACATTTTAATTCAAAATTAAACCAACAACGAATTGCTTCTCATTAAAAAGGAATTAGTTGTAATGGGCCCTAATTTGAATTTATTTAAAGAATGTTTAGGAAAGGAAAACCTCACAGAATTCGCAGAGTTGTTCTTATTTTTACATGTACTTTGAAACCACTTCAGTTTTAGGCACGTGTCCGTTATGATCTCCTTTTCATGGATTTTCTGGACCCCAGTATTCCAATCGCACCTAATTGTTGTCAACCAAATGAGGGTATAAAAGCTACACAACGACAAATTTTTTTATGAGTGACTTCCATTCATTTAACTCTAGAGTCGTATGAATTTTACGTCTGACATCATGGAAACACCCATATGTACATTTTTATTAAACTATGTATAGCTTACTACATACATACATATATATTTCAAAGTTTGTTCAAATATTAGACATGTTCATCAAAGTTTTATCGAACGTTTTATTCAGGACAAAATATGGTCGATTTTTTTTTATAAGAAAATGCACAACANTTTATTAAACTATGTATAGCTTACTACATACATACATATATATTTCAAAGATTGTTCAAATATTAGACATGTTCATCAAAGTTTTATCGAACGTTTTATTCAGGACAAAATATGGTCGATTTTTTTTTATAAGAAAATGCACAACACCGTCAGCAAAACAAAAATTCTAAAGAATAAACTCGAATGTTAAGCATACCAAACATTTTTCTAAAAATTCTGATTGCAAATTTGAAATAACGATGGAACGTTGATGAATTTTCCTAATTTTTGTACAAAGTGGGAAATTAGGGTTTTATAAAAAATGAATGAACAGTAAATAAACAAAAAAAAAATAGTTTAAACCGGCCAAAATGTTGCACAGATATTTTTTTCCATGAGTGTATGTATGTATATACTTGCGTCTTGTATACATTATTCCTCTGCGTAGGTTGTCTCGGTGTATGTGATTCCAAAAATAATTTAGCACTGAGAGAGCGGAAGGTACGCTGTAATTTTGCAGTCAAATATAAAAAAAAATATTCAAAATCACGTACAAAGAACGTTGCAGAAACTAGAAGAACTCGAGCGGGCGCTAAGTGAACACACTACATCGAGCCTAAACGAACATAAAAATATTCTCTGGACATACAAATTATATTGGTGAAATATTTATAATTTTTTTTTTAATTAAACCGAAATATTATTTTATAAAACTAATACGAACGAAAATGGTTTACGAAAGTGGATTTACTACCCGCAGGACCTATACTAGCAGGCCTATCGTTACTTCGTACGCCGTTTCGGTAAGACTTCTGGATTTGTCTATATTTATTGTATGCATTGCTAAGGTGCACATATGATAGGATCAGAATAATAACCGACTTCATCTAAAATGCTTCTATGTTTCAGTTAATGTGTAATATGTGTTTTGGTCATTTTGAGATTTACATACATATATGTGTTTTCAAATATTTGTTCAATTTTAAATAATCAAGCGACTTGACCGAAAATTCTAGCCTAATTCTATTGGAAACGAGTGGCAAAAGAAATCTGCTCTCGGTTAAACTTTTCTTTTAGGTGCATAACCAGCTCAGTTGATATCTACCATGGAACACATGGTTAAATTTATAAATTTTATAAACAAAATCAAAAACTTGTTTAGTTTTACAAAATATTTGCTTACAAATATGAATCAATGAGAATGGGACAAAAATATCCAGATTGCCAGAACTTATTAGCAATTCATTACTATCCGGTTCAGGTTGCTTATTTTTTAACGACCTTACTCAAATCGGCCTAGTTTGTGTAATTAATTTGCTTGTATGTATTTCGTTATCCTACGTAGTGTTCATTTGGTACTCGTTCGCGATAGAATGGGGCTAATAATTTATGTATTGGAGACGTGTGCAAAATATACAAATGTTCTATATATAACACGCAAAGGCCGTTGCAAAAGCTACACTAAAATAATTGATATAAAAAAGCAAATATTTGTTAGCACATTTTTCATTCAACCATCGATGCTAAATAGACAATTTTAGTGCCCCTTTACTAGCTGTATTTTTTGAATATCCACTAATACAATTATTATAAGCCAAGGACATAAGTTATTTTTAGATTGCACTTGAAATTTGAAAGAAAATAGAATACTTTTAGTTGAATCATTTGTCTACAACAACTAGAGGATAATTGAAACAAGTTTGAAAATACTCTAAACTTTTCTACAAAGCTGAAAATAATATCCCAATTCACTATCGGTGACACATTTTTTTTTACTGACAAATTTAAACCTTTTTCATACATTTTTCCGTAATAAAAACTGACGAGAATTTTTCAGAGCAGTAAGAATGTATTTGCATTGAACTGTATCTCGAAACTTTAATCTTTTAACGGATTTTTGGAAAAAGTATATCATTATAAAAGTACTTATAATATTTATACCGGCATAATTTAAAAATTTAAAAATTAATTTCTTCTGAATTATAATAGAAAATGGTATGAAATTTGGCACTATTGTAGAAATATTTACGCTTTATCACACAAAAACAACGATATCTAATTACAAAAAAAAAAAATACGAAATACACCCGAAACAAAACTTAGTCTTGGTTGTAGGTAGGGTCTAGTAAAATATGAAATTATGTTTCTTTTGCTCCTGTACCCTTCGCTTTTATTTTATAAAATGTTATTTTCGTACTTGATGTAGTTATTTATTAAAAGCTAGACTATCTTTCATCATAGGTAGGTTATATAGCTTGAGAAATAATTAGGGGTTTCACAACGGTGCCGTAAGTATCATATTGTTGTATGTCGTAAAATTTAAACGGCTAAAAATATATTTTACTTTTAGTTATAGTATGAATTGTCGTACTGTTAAAAATAGTTGGTTGTGTTTTCAAGTTTTCTAAACATTTATTTAACCTTTTAAAGCTTACGACTTACAACAACACGACGCCGCTGTGATTACCCCAAATATGCTTAAAAACACTTTTATCGAAGTTGATAAATCTGACTTATGACCGGTTTTATACCACAGATACTCCTATGTGCACTGTGGCGACTCGTCGCTGAGCCGACGTTGTGTCCGTGACGAAGTTCTTGCAATTTTCAATGATCTGGCCTTTCACGGTAAAGTTAGTCGCCCAACGGTGATCAATTTCGATATCAAAATTGCCAACGAAATAAATTTTAATGACTTCCTTTTTTCCTTACTTCACTGTCTTGGACAATGATCTGGTTCGGTGTTAAATATGTATCGTTGGTTGAGTGTGTATCGTTGGTCCACATAAATCCAGTATACATAGACTTATTTGAGATGCAATCCTTTAACTGCCTAATCATTGCGGTTGTGGTCATTCTCAAGAATTGTCCTTACTCTGGTAATGCGCCATAAAGTTATGAGCTCAAGGGTTCTGGTGGCTCAGCTAACTGTAGTAATTTGACTTTAACCCCTGCAGAACTAAATCCTGTTGTCTCCGAATAAAAGCTTTACGCATTGTAAAATTAGCAAATTACATCAGATAGACAAATGGTAACTCACAGAAGTTCGATGTACTCAATGGTACGGTACATCTTCTCACTTTACGATGCAGATTGCTTTTGTTTCAGTTATTAAGGAGCTGGTTCGCCTGAGGTTATCCTGCATGAATTTGCGACGTAGGCACTCAAAGCTGTTCATTAACTTGGGCACGTTGCTGAGGATTTTGATGTGCAGTGCTACTTAATCGCCAATCTTTGTAAATTGCGGTTGCTTGAGCCAATGTTTTATACTCTGATCGGCGAATGGTTTACGGACACTCGAAGTACAATGTCGAACAATTCAAACTTTCTTCTAAGCAATCGAACCATATTCGCGAATTCGCCCGAAAACAAACGGTTCGAAGAAAGGGAAACTCATTATAACGCTGATTTTATAATTTTAATCAAATCAAATTTTTTCAAATTTCCTTGGGAGAGACTAACACAACAAAAAAGACAGCTCACATAAAACATCCATTCTAGAGCTATGTTCGGTATTACGGAAGCAACTTTGTTTTATACATATATATATAGATTTTAGTTTTTAAATAGTTCGCAACCCTCTTCAAAATTATTACTTTATTAGATAATGCATTTAAATGCTTTTCATTCCATGAATGCGTTGCAATATTTTACTCGATACATATTTAAGTCACTAATAGGGTTGCCAGATTTTTTATGCGCGAAATCATTACGTTAGACTTTTTAATGCTTAAAAAATCAGTACTTTTCAGTACACTTTTTCAAATCAAAATTATGAAAGTAAGTAACAGATAATACTTTAAAACGCCAGAGTTCTTATTTTTAACACTATTTTGATATATAAATAAAACATAGTTCATAAAAAAATAAAAATTTTATTCATTTTAACATGAGTGTACACATCACTGTTCACAGGAGCCAATAAAATATTTTATACACTGAAAATAAAATCAGCGTAAATATAATGAAAACTTGCATACATTTTACGAAAGTTTTCGTCATTTTGAGCCACGAAAGTTTTCGTTTATTGTACAAAACATACATTCGTACATACTACGTAAATATGAGACATCAGATCTTAGTACATTTTACGAAAGTATTCGTACTATTTACGAACGAATTTCGTACTACTTACTAAAGAATTTCGTACTATTTCTTTATTTTGTTACGAAATTTTTGTAAAATGCACAAAATAGTTCGTATATTTAACGAAATTATTTTCCTAAAAACTGCGGTTGTTTCGTAGAACTTCCGATTGCTTTCATTCACTACACTGTAAAAAACATAAGACGAATTATAACACAACACTTTTATTTTGCTTTTATTCCTAATTTTAAGCGTTTTTCTTTAACAAAATGTTTCGCAATGTTTTTATGTGGAGGTACTTGGCAGATTCGCAGCTTCTTCGATGTTTGTTTCCTTTCTCGACTATAAATTAAAGGAAAATTGTAAGGCGTCTGAAGGCAAGTTTCAGTGAAAAATCGTACATGTACTTACTTAAAATTTCATTAAGTAGTGCGTCTGTTCCTGGCTTGGGCTTGCCGTTGATAGTTAACTGATGAAATTGCCTATTTATGAAGTCCCACATTGCAGAGCAAGGCTCAGCGTGGGCGATGTTAAAAACATTGTATGCTTAAAAGCATTTATCCACAGCTTTAACATTTAATTTTATATCGTATTTTTATCCAGCAAAAGCTTCTTAAAACTTTTAAAATTATATTATACGTCTCACAGTAGCCAACCAGTATTTTCGCAATGACACGCAGTACATAAAAACATTATGAAATATTAAACTGACGGTAATTTAATATATTGTACGAAAATATTCGTTGTTGTACGAATTTAAAAAAAATGTTTCTGCATTTGTTCTTTGTTCGAAAGTATTAAGTAAATTGTACGAATACAGAATTGTAGATTTCGTAAATTTTGAAACCATACGTAAATATTACGAATACCTTCGTACAAGATACAAAATTATTCGTACAGAGATTTGTTCAGTAATTTACGGATGTGTTTCGTAAAATAAACGAAAGATTTCGTAAATTGTACTGAAAAAAGGCTTTACGAAAGTCCTTTCGTTATATTTACGAATGGTTCGTAAAATCTTGTTTCGTTGTGAAAAATGTGTTCGTATTATGAACGAAAGTTTCGTACATTGCAATGCATTGTACAAAAACCAAGACTACGAAAATTTTTCGGAGCACATTTACGAAATTGTATTTTCAGTGTACTTATGACATTCTTGAATAGCAATAATGAGATAGTTTCCATTTTCAGTAGTTAAATAGTCAAATAATTTTATACATTTAATTTTAAATTACTTTTACCACTCTATTCTAACAGAGTCACAAAACTTAGTTCATCACTGTTGTGATTTCAAGTGCGCCGAGAAATCTGTCACAAAAAATTCGATTTTGAGTGCTAGAAAAATACACAAAAATATAAAAAATTGAATTGAAGTGGCATATTTTTTGAGCAGCAAGCTTTGAGGCGCGGTAGAAATCACAGAAGTGATGGGCTAAAGTTTGTGACTTTGTTAGAATACGGCTGTTAATTTGAAGTGCACTTTAAAAAATTTTATTTAGAAGCCGGTTTCTCTCTTCGAGCCAGGAAGCAAATTTTATGCTTAAGATTCTCTGTTGCTTCGTTTGAGTGTGGTATTGAAAGAAAGAAAATTACATATTTTTTCAAGCTGTGGAAAATGGAAAGACTCTAAAAAGAGTATTTAACCCTATGTCTTGTATGCACAACTCTTTTACAATGTCAGTAAATTGAGAAAAAAAATTGTAAAGCTGAATTTACATGAGGCGATTTTCTAGGCGATTCAGCATTGCTCAAGGAAAATCGCTAGTGCAAATGGTAATTCAAAAATCGCTTCCCTCAAGGTAGACAGCAAGTCAACTTTTGCAGGCGATCATCGCCTGTCAAAAATGGCTTCATCAAAAGGCAGCCTACGTTATAGGCAAAAACCATTCGAATATTCAAATTTGCTGTTATTAAACTGAAAGATATTTTCGAGATAACTAACAACACTCGCCAAAAAACGTCAGCCTTCTTTTTAAATAATTTGAGGTTCATCATATTATCGCAACTGGTGCGTAACGACCCGGCGATGTGCCCATAAAACGATTGATCTTTTTGTTGTATTAATTTCTTGGGCATATCAAACATTATCTGAAACATGTCAACTATAATTAAATAATTTTCTTCTTACTTTCTACAGTGTAGTTTAAACAAATTCCAACGTTATGTAAAAACCGTAAGACAATCCTAAAGTATTTTGTTTGAATTGAAAATTCAGTACAAATCAGTACAAATTTTCAAAAATCAGGACATTAGCGTACTGATTGAAGAAATGAATAAAATCAGTACAAGAGTTGAAAAATCAGTACTGTACTAATAAAATTAGTACGTCTGGCAACCGTAGTCACTAAAAATTTAAGCAGGTGGCAACCGGTGAAGCTGTCCTTCAAGATGGTGTTTTAATCATTCAATTTAATAGAGTATCATGCAAGATATGGAGCTTTATTGACCAGATACAGTGGTTTCAGCTTTTTAAAACCCTTGTTTTTTAATAATTAACTAAATATGAACAACGTGAATATTTTTCGCATGTACGTAAGCTTCTCCCCTTCAAAATGAGATTCATTCATTAAATTTGTCTAAATATTAAAGGAGATATTTTTGGTAGCAGAAAAATACCTTTTAGAAATAAGAATATACCCTGTAGGGAAAAAACGAACTAGTGAACCAGATTTCTAGTTGAGTACTAGTTCTTTTTCGCCAAAAACGTACCAGTCCGATAGTAACTAGTTCCGCACCAGTCCAAAAGCAGTGAAATGTGGTACTTTCACTAAACTATTTTATTTGTAATTTTAAAAGCAGGGAAGGTAATCATTATGAGTAAAATAATTTAAATCAGCATTTAGTCATTATTTTATGAATTATTATTGAGTTTTATTTTTTCGCTGAAACGGAAATTATTATTATTTGATTCTTATTTTTGGGATTACAAATAATGATTATTTTATGATTTTTATTTTTTCGCGCAGAGATTATCATTAATTTTGAGTTTTATTTTTCCACTTAAAAATAATGATAATTTATAAAATTGAAAAGGCCATACAGACACAACGTACTGAAATTTTGACCTGAAAAGTTTGGGTCTTATTCCTTTTATAAGGGTGCGGCTACCTCTCAAAAGGATACGTCGGTAATCACGCTGGAATAGTTTTTGAGTTGCTTAATAATCATTATACTTAGTGAATCTATAAACAAAGGCCAAGATCCTGAAGGACAATTGAGAAAGGCAATGCAGTTGCAGAAAAAGAGGCATTTAAAAAAAACTGTCAAAATAATTACCACTTTCTCACTAGATTTTATTTAAAAACCAGAGCTACCTTTTTTTAAGAGAAGAAAAATTAATTTTTTTTATGCAATCCAGTACAGCGACCTTAATACAGTCAGTCAGTAAAGTTTACGTACAACGAATTTTTTACAATACGGGCAACTATTTTTTTAATATTTTAGTTTTCGGTAATTTTTTATAAAAATATGGTCAATTCTACAACAAAATCCCCAAAAATCAGAGTTCCAAACCTTGTGCAAAATTTAAGAAAATTCTGCAAAATTTCATTAAAATAATTCACTTTCTATTTACGCTCTCTAGAAAAAGTTTTTTAGCCCATTCAATTTTAGTATAATGAAGTGCAAGTGTGAGGAAGCTAGGACTTACCAAACAAAAAAAAAAAAATTGCTAAATATCAATGGTAAGTCCTAGCTACCTCAAACTTGCACTTTGTTATACTAAAATTGAATTTGCTAAAAAACGGCATACTTAACTTTTTTCTAAAAAGAGTGTAAATTGCAATATTTGGATGGAAATTTGCGGAGTTTTCTTTAATTTTGCATAAGGTTTGGAACTCTGATTTTTGGGGTTTTTGGTGTAGAATTAACCATATTTTTATAAAAAATTAGGGAAAAATAAAATATTTAAAAAATAGTTGCCGGTATTGTAAAAACTTCACTGTACCTAAACTTTATTGACTGACTGTATATCTTATTTAAGTTAAGTACGACAAAAACTTTCGAAGTACTTCATATACATATAAGCTTAAAAAGAACTGAATTTACATACTTAAAAATCGATATGCTTAAATTTAGACAATTAAGAATGAACTAATATTTTTACTTTTAAGCAGAACGCACTTTTGTTTTTTACTTACTACTTAAGTTTAATACTACTACTACTACTAATGTGGTTTATAAATTTTTAATAAATGCGTTTAAACATTTGTGATGGTATTGTCCTTCCTTCAACCGATCGTATTTAATATAAAAGGGAAATGTTTCGACAAGCCTGATTAGAAATATAGATCTAAGGTGACGAATTTATAACAGGTTGGGAACTATAAAAAATGGATGCAGATCGAACAAGATCTCATCTGTCGAATTCGGAACTGGTTCGGAACTATAGAAAAATGGATGCAAAACGAACTAAATCTTATCTGTCGAATTTAGAACTCATTCGGAACTAGAGCCAAAGGGTTGCAACGGGGGACAATTGACACTTCCTAGGACATCGCAATGTTAAATTCGCCAGTCGCTAGCATGCAAAAGAGAATTAACGCGTACTAGTCATGGTTCCAAACGCACTAGAACCGAACCAGTTCCGCACTAGTTCGTTTCCCTACAGGATAGATATAATTAGACCCTCTGAAAACATTTTAACCGTTTTTTTTCATAAAGAATTGTAAGCTTAAGATTTTACGACGGTAACAAGTCTTCTGAATACCCTAATTGTTAAAGGGGCTCATAAATAAATAAATAAAAAAATCGCATATTTTTGCATCACTGCTTCTTCATGGTAGCATGGTAGTGAATAACACCAAAAAAATATGGTGAAAAAATAAAATTATTGCAAGACCAATTAACTACAAGAGTGTTTAATTTCGTACCGTTTATCTGTTGTAGTTCAGAAGAAATTTATTTTTCAATTTTTTCGTACTTTAAAATGTAACTGTCAGTAACTTACATATATGTATATGAAATTTTTCTATGCCAAAATACTTTAAAGTGATATACTTTTTTCAACGATCCGTCACTTGGAGAAATTTTCGTATAGTTCACGAGGGCACACTCATTTACAAACGGCTATCGGTATAAATAATGATTTATGAATACCGCTTAAAGAAGTTACTGCAAGACATTGTATTGCAAATATTAAAAATTATAAATACAAATAAAACATTAAAGACTTTGCAAACATTAAATTTTTCGAACTTACAAACATATGTATTATAGACAAATGAATGTACCTATGTACATTGGGGCGGTTCAATTTGTATGGAAGATTTTCCATGTAATTCGAAGCAAATTTGACGAGGAAACCATGGGTGTAAACTCAATTTGGAGTTTGCCAAATTGCGAAAATAGGTTTCTTAGCATTTTGCTTTAGTGTCGTAAGGAAGTGCTAAAATTTTGTATAGAAACATGCAATAAGGGTTTTTTCCTTATGAATATTCCATTTCTGCACTTATATTTTTCTAAAAACTTCAAATTGATTTTAGACCCATGGTTTCTTCGGCAAATTTGTTAAGAATTACACGGAGAATCCACCTATGCTACATGCGCATAGTAAAAAAAATGTACCCGCCCTATTGTATATACATACATATATAAATATCGTCGTTTAAAGTGCAAAATCGCGTATCAACAAAATGCAAAACCGCGTATCAGCAAAATGAAAAACCGCGTATGTGAAGTTGTAGAAATTATTTTTTAGAGCGTAAAAACACTCATATTTCAAAATGGTTTTCTTTTTTATAAAGCAATCGCATATCTGCCTAGTATATTTCAGGACGAATGGATAAGGATTGAGCCAAGAGCTTGTGTGAGCAAATCCAATTTTTGACAGCCAATGTCAGTTACGCGGTTTTCCAGAATCACGATACGCGGTTTTGTACTTTAAACGACGTTATGTATGTACATACAAATATAGTCAAAATATTCATTGTAAAAGTAAGTATAAACTATGTATTTATAAGAGGTAAAGAATATTCAAATTTTGTTTTTACTCGATACAACGATACAACATATGTACATACTACGGATGTTGCAAATGTGAAATTTTAGACATCCGCGGATGCGAATGCGGTTGTCAAGTATTTTTATGCTTTTTCATATGTAATTAAAAAAGTATATGTATACAAAGCATGCACAGCGGTGACAACACATACACACATACATGGTACATGCCCAGTAGAAATTTTAAGCATACGACATCGCTTTTGGTGGCATGAACATGCGGCTATGCATACATGCCAGTATAAATGAACCTTCATTTCCATTTAACACGCGTGGTTTCTCAGAGCGTATGCGTACTCTAACCAGACACTTGTACTATCACTGCATGCACATAGCTGTATTAATGTTACAAACACGCAAAAGCACTAGTACAACATGCATCCAAAAGCACAGAAAATTACAAATGCTGCATTGATGGAACAGTATTGGTGCTACATTGATGGACCAGCATTGGTGCTGCATTGATGGTGCAGCACTGGTGCTGCATTGATGGTACAGCACTCGTGCTGCATTGATAGTACAGTACTGGTGCTGCAATAATACAATAGCTGTAAAAATTTTAAATTTTTCCTCGCATAAAAATAAACCTTTTATAACGTACAAATTAAATTTCAAATTTAGTTCTTTAATATTATTAATAGAAATTAATAGCAAATAACTATTATACAGTAGATTTTTCTTTATTCTTGGCGGCGGTTTTGTAAACTTTGTTTTTTGCCTTTCTTTACCTTTTCGTATTTCCGTTTCGAAATCGGGAAAAGACATCTCTTTCTTCTTTATAGCTTCCGCAAAAAAGAACGAGTTACACTTTTCTAAACTTTAATAATTTCAATTCAATTTACCAAACACCAGTTAATGTCTAGCAACAGTTGCTCCGTTAAGAGTATAGGAATACATTTGGCAATTTCGTCTCTTCCCAGGTGCATCTTTAGGTATGCCAGCTGTAAGTTAATATTAAGGAAACAATAAACACACATACACATAATAATTTTTTTTGCGTTGATTTTTAATAGAAATATATGGCATATAAATTAATGATTCAAAGTTTTGAAATAAAATTTGTTAGAAACTTTTTGAGGATGCAGTTTTGTAGCTTACTCAATTTCAGTACAATAAAGTGCCAGTTTTGAGTGGCTATAAATTACCGTTGATTTTTAAGAATTTTTTTTACTAACGCTCTTCGGTATTTTTTCCCATAAAAAAATTATCACGCATCCGTTATATGGAGAAAATGAGTAACATCAGCAAAAAAAATTCTTAAAAATCAACGGTAGTTCATAGCCACTCAAAACTTGCACTTTATTATACTGAAATTGAGTGAGCTATAAAACTGCATACTCAAAAAATTTCTAACAAATTTTATTTCAAAGCTGAAAATTTTGGTGAAAATTTATCGAATTTTCCTAAATTTTCTAAAAACTTTGAATCATTACCTAATTTATATGCCATATATTTCTATTAAAAATTAACGAAAAAAATATATTACGAAAAACATTGCAAATATTTAAAAAAGACACTGTACAGAAACATAGTCTGGTGAGTGTATGTATATTACACTGTGTAAAATCCAACGACAATTTTGTTATTTTAGTCCCATAAGAAAATTTCGTTTTTAGTCACAAAAAAATTATTGTGGAACAATTTTGGCCTCTATTTTAATTTTTCAGTTGGCGATCAGAAATATGAGAATTTTTAATGAAAAAAACATATTTTTCGTTTTCATTAAAAGTTCTCATTTCCAAGCCATAACTGGATAATCAAGGTATAGGGCTGAAGTTTCGCCACAATTATATTCATTACAACGTTGCCACAATATTTTTAATTAAAAAACCCGCTTTAATCTCAATAAAAAATTTTAATATGTTTGTTATTAGGCAACAAATAACAAGACAATAGGTAAAGTCACTTAATTTTGTATGGGAAATCCGGTTTATTTACGGAGTTTACGTGGTTATGCGGCATTTACACGTTTAGATGAATACCCGTAATATATAATTTACAACATGATAAAAATATAGTAAGGTAGAACCGCTGAGAGTCACTTTTAAAATTCTTGACGTTTCCGAACAATTTAATTTTTAAATTTACTCACAAACTCACACACACATTTTCATTTTCAACCTCAAGCAACAACAATTTCGAACAATTTCAATCTTTTATTTTCACTTTTATATTTAAAATGTTGGCAAACTTCAAAAAAAAATCATTGCGGACAAATTGAGAGAACGGTTCTACCTTACTATATTTTTATCATGATTTACAATATAGAGCCTTGAAGTTATTACTTACCATCTCTCCTTTAGGATAATTCTCTAAATTTGCTTCCACATTCTTTATTTCCTCAACCGATCCGAACGGAATAATTTTAAAGTCAACTGAATCCGGAAAACACTGTGCTGCAATTCTCTTTATCAACAGGTCTTGTTTCTTCGCTTGTTGGTAAAAAATTTCATTTTGTTCCATCAGTTCCTTATGTCTCGCCTCACTCTTTTCCCCTTCTTCATCCATCTTTCGTTTCAAAGTAGCAACTGAAAAGTATCCGTATTTAGTAATTTTTATACGTGCATATGTATGTACAATAAAAAAGTACCTTCTGTTAATAAATTTGCTGCTGTTTGGTTCGGTGCTCCGCTAATGCCGGAATTATATTGCGACCAATTCCGAAAAGGAGTAAGAACATTTTCGTCATTGTGTTCTTGCATTGGTGTTACCTTGTACGGTGATGTTGGTGAAAATAGTTGATGTTGTGACATCTTTGCCTATATTAAAATTACACAAATATAACGCGTGTCAACATTGAAAGCACACCCTATATTGACAATCTTGTCCTTCATCATACTAAAATTGAATGGGCTAAAAAACTGCATACCCACTTAAAATCTTTATAAGAAATCGATTTTTTTTTTGTTAAAGAATAAACTATATTTTGGATAAAGAATTACTAAAAAAAATATTGTTAAAAGTTTTCAGGGTTGAGCTTATAATTTTGACACGATGTGTTTGTTATTTAAAAAAATATATTTATTTTACGAAAAACTTTAAAATACCTTTAAATATGGCAATGGTGTAGTATGGGAACGACCACAAATTTTTCGTGGTACGGAAGGTATACAATTTTGCAATGGATATCTGATATCTTAAAATTTTCTTCCACACCCAATAAGTTATCCACAAGGCTAATACCAAGTTCTTTGTACGACTCAAAAGTACACTCGAAAAAATTTGATACATTCAAAAACTTAGATCTAATAATGAATTCTCCGTCAATGGTTTTTAAAAATCCTTTCACTTTAATTGGTTCAAGAGATTTCAAGTAGCAGATATTATCAGGAGTTCTATCGCTTAGATGAAATATATCGTAGCTGTAAGTACGATAAATTGATGAAGATGTTGTAGCAGATCGTTGCTTTGTCAAATTTTTGAATTTATGTTTTGCATCAAATGTTGTTTTTTTTGTTCTACTTCTGTCTAATATTTTATTGTTTATTTGCGTGAGGATTTTAGATGGCCGTCGAATATCTTTTTTTATTATGTGTAAATGATTCTCGAATTTGTAGGGTGAGAAATTGTTGACGTCCCCAAAAGCTTCAACACAATCTGCAAATGCAATAAATTATGCACATTATAGGTGAGCCTATCCTCACCGTATATAGCAGAATAGTCGCTAACAAAACATTGCAATATTTTTTGAACGGTGTCTAAATTCCTTGTGCAGTTTGGCGGGTACGAAATCATCCTATAGGAACAATGTAGCAGCAAGAAGTGGTAGTGCAAATCTATATCCAACAATTCTTTGAATAGCACGACACCTGTGTACATCAGAATTTGTCGAAACTCTGTTGCTTTCCATCTTAACAATTCATTGAAAGACGTTGGTTTCCTACAGAATTCCACAGGAATATATTTCCCCATTCTTATGAAACGATTATCCATGACCAGCTTTTCTTCTGCAGATAATTTTCTTTTGGAATGTTTATCTTTCCAAATTAACGTCATATCTTTTTACACACCCCAAGGTCTATTAGGTGCATGACATCAAGTGGGAATTGCGAAACCATTCCCACATTTATTTGTTCCAAAATATGACTACCCTTATTTCGGAAGCCAGCCTGGTGATAAAACGGATTAGCCCTATTACAGTGGTCAAGATGGGTTCGTTTTCCAACTATGCTACTGCTGTACACCAGTCTCTTGTAAATTCTCCTGCCTTTCTGCACGCACTTCGAACAACCATCATATGAAGTATGACCCACAATCCCGGTAAGAAAAGATCGTGCTGGAGTATCGACGGTAAACAATCTTATTTTCAAATCAATCCTACGCTCGCTTAAAATAAGCCCCGTAGTTTGAATATTTAGCATTTCTTCCACAAAAGGTTTTAAATACTTATTCACATCTTCTGGCTTTTTATTACCGGCATAAACACCTATTAAAAAGGGCTGAATGCTAGGTTCTTCTGACACTGCGCCTAAAATTGGCCATAAATTCATAGACGAACTTTTAAAAAGGGGCAAACCATCAATACCAACATCAATATGCATTGTGGTCAAGTTTTCTACATTGACTTCAAGAAGCTCAATTGCCTTCGCAATGCCAAAATGAAGATATTGACCTGGAGGTAAATCAATGATTTCAACAGTTGGCTTTTTTCTGTTTACTAAAGATGCGTACGACTAGGGCACACCTACACCTTCTTGTTTCAAAATTTTCAAGAGATATTCACATGAATAGGAGCGTTCCTTATCTCCCAGAAATAGTCAGAAAAAGTCCGAAGTAGTCAGATTTAGTCCAAAAAGCGTTCCTTAACTCGGAAATGACAGCAAAAATGAGAGAGCAACACTCGGTGAGAGTGACTCTCATCAGTCCGAAGTAGTCAGATTTAGTCAGAAGAATTTTTTCTGGCAAAATTCTGAAAAGTGTCAAACTCAACTGAATTTAAATTAACGGAAATTAAAGAATACGCCAAAAGTGAGAATAGTCTAAAAAGTAAAAAAAAGAATTGAAATGTGAAGGAGGCTAAAAATAATTGATATAGTAAGTTTTTATTGTGCTTGTGCTTGTGTGAATGTGTTTTGTACATACATTTCCATTCTTATTTGACGTTAGCTTTGTTGTTGCAATTCTTTGGACTACAAATTTGGTTTTTTGCGTTCCTTTACTTTTCCTGTTATTCTCTTTTAGTGAGCACATTTTGCTTACGCTCTGGCATTTTGACACTTTTCAGATTTTAGTCCAAAAAGATAAGGAATGAAACCAATGACGGGATATATTACACTCAATTGCCTATTTGGACAATTTTTCTTTAATTGACATATTTACTGCCTCACTATGCATATCAGTGATCGGACTTCTACCACATTGTGGTAGATCTGCCACTTTTTTGAGCATCTACCACATCTACCACACAAGGTCTGAAATCTACCACATATTCGCGTTTTTGAGTAGTTTTATTTTTGCTTGACATAATTTTCTTGATTTTAAGAGAAAAAATTGTCCAACACTAAACACTATATGGTAACAAGCATGATACAAATATTTATAAGGTACAATCGCTGAGAGCCAACTTTAGGAATTTTGACGTTTGCTAGCATTTTTGAAATTTTCTCTCGCCGCCATTTCATTTGTTTGTTTTTATTTTCACTCAAACCAAATAAATATATTTCTGTCGAAACAACAAAATTTGAATGTACATACATACATATGTATGTATGTAAATAAATAAATGTAAGAAATTGTGTGTAAGGGCCTTCTGCCCGCATGTTAAAGCGAAGATTTTGGCATACATTTGAAGATATTGTACCTTAAAGGCACTGTACTGTTCCAAAGAACTACATATCTTGTGCTTATATTAAGTCAAGTGATGTGGCAAAGTATAAGCCGAGCATACATAAGGGCAATACGGCAAAACCCTTTTCATAACACCACAAACCTCGGTCCTTCATACGGTAATTCCGGGAACTANGCAAAACCCTTTTCATAACACCACAAACCTCGGTCCTTCATACGGTAATTGCGGGAACTAAAAACAACTTGATATTGCTTTGCTTGCAGAGGACAACGGAATTTTCGCAGCCTTTAGAGCAACTCATTTTTCTGCTCTAAATTTTTAAATTGTTTCCCACATTTGAATAAAAAAAATTCAAATCATAAAATTTCATTTGTTTCTTTTGAATTTATTTGACATTTAAACCATTTCGAGAGAGTTTAATCAAAATGCTAGCACACGTCAAAAAAACCTAATGGCGGACGAATTGAGCGAGCGGTTTTACCTTTAAATATTTGTATCATGGTAACAAGTATGATATAATACAAGATTCCACATTCCCGGCGACGATGAAATTTCTCAAGCAAAGTAAACAAATCCGAATGGGAGAATAAAATAAAATGTAAAATAGTAAATTTTCTCAGTAATCAATTTTTCGACAGGAAACGCGGTTTTATTGTGTTAAATTGCAAAATAAATAAGTTATAAAAAGAATTAATAGCGAAAATGTTAAAAACGGCGATTTTTGTGAAAGTATTAGCAGATTTAAGTGCATCTAAAGTTTCTAAGGCGTTGTTTACTTTTACTTGAGGATTGACAAAATCGGCAAATCCCAGTTAGCTGTTTCTGGAACGTGCCACATTTGTTCGCTACTTCGTGATGTGATAAAAAGAAAAGCTGACAGCACTCCGCAAGGTTGCATAAATCTCTTAAAATATGTTCGAAAAAATACCCTAATATGGAAGGAACTGCTTTACACTGCCAAGGAGAAAAATTGCCAAAACTCAACACAATTTTTAGCAACTTCAATCTTGCACTTTATTATACTAAAATTAAATTTTTTTAGAGTCTAATTAATAAGTTTGCCATTTAGGTCAAACCCTGCAGAATTTTTTAAATTTTTGTAAAAATTTTGATCCAAACCCAGAGATTTAGCACATTTTTTTGAAATCTACCACATTTTTTTCCAAATTCTACGACACAGAATTTTTGTAAAGTCCGATCACTGATGCATATCACTGACACTAGGAAATTATATTATATCACACAACACGATCGTCCACTAAAAATTTTGCACAATACTGAAAATATTATCGCGCAACACGTCCGTTTACAAAAAGTTTTGCACAAGAATGACAAAAATTGTGCGATGCTGTATCATAGTCAAATTTATCAGGAAATGTACTTAAACAACAACAACGTATGTTCGCTGACTGAAAATATTACAAAAATTGTGTGATGCTGTATCGTAGTCAAATTTATCAGGAAACGTACTTAAACAACTACAACGGACGTTCGCTGACTAAAAATATTACAAAAATTGTACGATGCTGTATAGTAGTCAAATTTAGCAGGAAATATACTTACTTCAACAACAACTCGCTTACAGTTCGTCTGAATTTGACTTAATTTTTGGAAATTCATGACCCTTCATGAATATTTCACACTTTCTTATACAGCATGCTAACTTCACGGATGCATACAACCAATTTCTACTGGGTGTTTATCTGTACAAATCCACTAATCGCGCGATGCGATGTTGTTTCAAACTAACATTTGAAAACACATTAGGGCTATTCGCGATTCGCTGCATAAGAGCTGACAAATTTATGCAATTGCAGAAGTATGCCATGGATTGTGAGCGACCTTTATTAAACTGTCATGGTAAACCTTTTTTAATCAGCTGATAGAAATATCAACCACAGTTGCAATGCATAGCATTTTTATGCTATGGATTTTTGGTATTGCAAATTTGTCAAGCCATGACAAATGCAA